GCCCTAAAATCTATTTTAACGAACAGTGGCATATTTGAAACATCTGTGATCCTTTTAGCGACAGTATTCCTAATTAACAAATGGGATACAAATTGTTACTTAGATTAGCGGAAATGTAGGAATTAGAAAAACTTTCTATATCGGAAGTCTAGGTCGCTCATGCCGATGCCGGGTTATTTCGTTTTCCACTTTCATTCCCTTTGTTCTCCAGTTTTAATTATATGATTAAGCACGGTCATCACAACACAAAACATTGAATTAAATGGGAAACGTTCTTTGCTTTACTAGACCGGGCAATTGGATTTAATTCTGCGGGAATTTGAGTTTTCATACATCGCCGATTCTTCTTCTCGTTTCCGAAATGGTGACTATATTTATTTAAAAAATGGTTAATTATTCAGGTGATGGTTTAATTTAATGATGTGAAGTACCATAATACTAGGTACAGTTAAAACTTGCTCATATAAATGCTTTTGATTGTTAATACAACATATTATCGCCAGAAAACTTAACAATTACGGCGAAAATTGCGTTTTTGACAACATCGCCATAAAGGAGCGATATTTTCGATATTTTTGCCTAAAGTTGATGAAAAGCACGTGCAATGCACTTATTATATTCAAATATATTTGAATACAACAAAAAAAACGACATCGAAGGCGAAAAATTAAAATAATCGATGAAACCCTAGCTATGCATCATGTTTCCGAACTGCATTTATTTGGAAATTTCAAAATTTTGAATTATTTTTCTAGCCATCCAATATCATTGAACAATATATCGCCGAATGCGTCTCTAAAATACCAACTGAACGGTATTAACATTTTTGTTTTTTATTAATTATATCAAAAGTTATAACCAAAAAACGATAAAAAAAAATAAATTTTGAACCCAATTTTCTCGAAAACTATTAAATGAATTTTAATTATAAAACTATTTTTAGTTTTGTTTTATTGAAATCTATCCAAATATATTAAAATTTTCAATACAACTACAATAGAACAAATTTTCAATTTTGGGGTCAAATGACAAATAATTAATTTAAACCACTCACTGAAAAGATAAATACAAAACTTCCGCATAGACTAGTGAAAATTTTTTCAAATTTGACCTAAAGTTCGCTGATTTATATGTGTTCGAATTTTAACTCGTGATTTCGTAAATTTCAGCAATATGTCACATCTCAGACAATCCAATTTATGAAATTATGGAAGTTTTGTCATCTGCTATCTAGAATCCACTATGAACAACTTTCAAATATCGCCATTGAATCTATTTTCAGGTTACACTTTGGCCTACGTAGATACACAATATATATATATATACAGTATACACAAGTATAGTATATACACAATTACTCTTTATACTTTCGTGGGAGGGCATGGAGAATTGAAGATACAGGCAGTCAGAACGAGTGGGCAAATCGCAACAATATCGTTCAGCGAGCGATCAACCGTGACGCCAAAATAACAACATATCACGCTGTAAATAGGGCAAGGCGACAAGCCTCAGGCACACCTTAAAACATCCAAAACCACTGTTTTCGGCTATTTCATGGTACGATTGTAACTGGTGTTTAATTTACCTTGCAAGCAAAGGATTTAGCCGTAGCTGTGAACGTTTTTGATGAAGGACAATGATTAAATAGCCAATGATTATATCTATTCCATGCGGTGTCGACCATATCCAATAATGTTCTTCATTTCCCCAAATAGGCTAAAAAAAGCAGTCCCTCGGAATTGGACGACGACGATTGTGCACCAACTCGATTATATTTTAAACAAACTGTAATACTTGCGTGAAATTTTGTCAAAACATTTCCCACTGGAAACCACCAAAATTAACGCTGTGAGTAGCTCACTATATGCCACAGAAAACGAGTGGCCCAAATGCAGCAAAAAATAGTATGTAACCTCAATGCAGCATATATATGCAGTATATACGCAAATACTTTTGTGTGAGGCCATCGAGAATTGATGATACAGGCAAGTAGATGGAGCTGGCGGATTGAGACAATATGGTGCAGCGAGCGATCAACCGTGACGATGAAATAACAACATATCATGCTGTAAATAGGGCTAGGCACCAGGCCTCAGACACGCCTTAAAACATGCAAAATCACTGTTCTCGGCCATTTTAGAGTACAAATTGTAATCAATGTTTAATTTTCCTTACAAGCAAGGAATCTGGCGGTAGCTGGGAACGTTTTCAGTGAAGGACAATGATTAAATAGCAAATGACTATATCTATTCCTTGCTGTGTCGACCATATCCAAGAATGTTCCTCATTCCGCAAATAGGCTAAAAAAAGTAATTCCTCGGAATTGGGCGACGACGATTGGGCACCCAATCGACTATATTTGAAACAAACTGTATTACTTGCGTGAAATTTTGTCATAGCATTTCTTACTGAAAACCACTAAAAATAACACTTTGGGTAGCTCACTATATGCCACAGAAAACGAGTGGCCCAACGGCAGCACAAAATAGCATGTGACCTCAATGCAGCAAATATATATATATATATATGCCCATTTATTCAGAAACAATCTTTGAGGCAGTAGATTAGCAGTAGATCAGGGTGGTCCAAACCCAGGCCCGCGGGCCACATGTGGCCCGCAGCGTCATTATCTGTGGCCCGCGTCGTCTTTGCTGAAAGTTAAACAAAGGTCGCATATGATGGTGTTTCGTCATAAAAATAACAGAAAATCTTTTCAACATTCTGTTACATCACTATTGTCACTGAATTGACCAGTGTCACGGCTAGCTGAAACAACTAGCGCAGTTGAATCGAGTGTGATTGGGTAGTCCAAACTGTTGCATCTATTTGGTTGCCAATATATCCCAACAGTTATAAATAACTAAATTTGATAACTTAATATTAATGTTATCACCTGAGAATATAATTTGTACAAAAATGCCTCTAATATTTCAGGAATATTAGTAATGACTCTTCTGTACATTACATTTGGTAAAATATGATAATCAATCGTTCAGCAGTTATGGCAAATATAATCTGAAACGGCATTTTGCTATCATATGAGCAATGAGCGTTTCCAAGTTTCGAGGGATTTTGCTTTGAGAACCGATGTTCGAGAGCACTTGCATTTGCGGGAGCACTTTCTCTGTCCTGATGTAGTTTATACCTAGTGGCAATCATATAACAAAACGTTTGCATGTTTCAGTGATTTTTCTGGCGTATTTTGTATGATTTAGCTTGATAAATGACAAACAATGATCAATCGGTTGCACAATAAAAGTGTTTGTTGTTTACATATTTCTGACGCTATTGTAGCCCGCGAACAATACAAAAATAATTTTCTGGCCCGCGAAGGCGACAACCTTGGACCACCCTGCAGTAGATATTGTGTACATGTGTCATCCGCGTATACTGACTTATATTTTTAAGAACATTCTAGATCAGATCAAGGAGCTGAATATATCGGTCCCGAGGTATGAGGTACCTGGTTGTTTTCATCCAATACCGATACAATCACCGATATCGGCAATATGACAGATAAACCAAATGCCCAATATCATTTATTATTCATCTCTAGTTCGAATCCCATGAGGGTGGGAGTAAATTAGTGCAAGAGGATTACTGGGTGGTTGACTTAACCTGGGCGGCTTTCTTCGCTATCAGGTCCATGTATTTAAAACAACAAATAACTATTTAACTATACCGAGGGCGGATTTAGATTGTGAGAGGCATCAGATCATGGATGGCGAGCCATTGACCCGTGTGCCATTAAGTGTCCCACAGTGTTTGGTGGCCGCCAAGTCACGAATTATTGCATAAAAAGCATATAAAATATTATGATAAATTGGTATACTCGATAGAAAAACAAGACTATAAAATCAATTTCTTAATGGCACGAGGTGAAACAAATACATAACAAATTCAGAGTTAATGCTTATGACACAAAGGATGTAACAGCAGTATTTTCAGTAGCTGCATACCAGTATATTAAACCATTTCATTTATTGTTAGATTGAATTAGGGCTTTTTATCGCTAAAATGTTGGTATCAACTATCAATGCTTTAATTCGTGACTTTGCTTGTCACCGAAAATATTGGTGGGTCACTTTGTGAACAGCGAGCGGGTCAGTGGGTCATTGATTATGTGCAACACATCTCCGATACAATATACGATAGTGCGCTTTCCATATCATGCCCTGATGCAGTTTATACCTAGTGGCAATCATGCGCTGAACAACATCCTTTATTGTCTTATTGTGCTTCTTCTAGTCTGACGATATTTCTAGACATAAGCCTCTCAATATCGATATGAGCATTTGTGTCCTGCAAACGTTGTGATACCACATCACAGAAACAAATTATTAGGCTTCCCGCTGCTTGTCAGCAGGGAGCCTATTGTATTCCTGTGTTTTATTATTATTATTATTTATTTTTATTATTTTTTTTTCAAATTGGTCCTACAAACTTGAAATTCCCCTCAAATGTGCAGAAGTTCTCAGCTAGCAATAAAATGCAAATTTTATGCATGACTGACCACGCTTTCACGCTCCAGTGAGCAAAACGCGTCTTCAGTTTTTTTGCGATTTCTCAAAATTGATACATGCTATTGGGTTGCAATTCATAACATTGATTAATGGACATGTTCCGGATACGATATGTCAAGGATACGCATGAGTGACCTCGGCGATACGCTCCAGTGAGCAATATAGGATTTTACATTTTCATCTTCTTCTCGAGAACGACACTACTTAGAGACTTGAAATTTACATCACATGCAGATAATAAGTCCAGTCCCCATCATAAATTGCAAATTTTATGCATGACTGACCACGCTTTCACGCTCCAGTGAGCAAAACGCGTCTTCAGTTTTTTTTACGCGGGAAGCCTGTTAAAGCTGCACGCAGATCTAGTTTTTAAAGTTATTTCCGAAGTGTTTCCTTGTATATATATATCACCACACACGTTGTAGATACAAGCCTTTAATACAGTTCTATATTTACTCTAATATACAGGATATGAAGATCAATAAAATAATATTGTTAGAATAGCATAATATGTATATATAAATAGGAAATATGAAAATCTGGTATTAGCAAGGTGCATACCAGGTTAGATTTATTCTTGAAATAAAGTATAGGAGAATGCAGTAATTGATTTGGTAGATCTTCAAACTCATAAATTCTCCACCTTTTTTTTTATGTAAGCTTGTATTGAAGCTACTATTTCACACCTTCTATTATGACAGAATCACAATTTACCACACAGATAATAGAAAAAAAACAACGAATGTATGTAGTTTAAATTAAAACTCATGATCTTTAAATTTGTGCCCATAAATATCATGAAAGCAGTTTGTCCATATTGGCATATTATAATATTAGCACAAACGTGTGAGAGTGAGAATACGGCAATCTACTGAAACATTTCAGGTACCCGCTAATAAATAATCATCTGGACTACGCCACATTACAGTCATCGTTTTGTGATATCGTGTCTGGTGGTAGAAATGTAATATATATATATTTATAATAGGATTGAAAATTTCTTTTTCAACCTACGTTCTCGCAAATATTACGAAGATCTTTCAATTCGAACTTATTGTAGATTTGAAAGAAGTGATATTAATGTGTATATGAGCATAATCAAAAAGTTATAATTTCTTCAGCAGAACTTAACATATTGCTGTAAACGTAAAAGATAAAGCATTATTTCACATTGACCATTGCAAGTTACATCCACACAATCACTGATTATTACTATTCATGAATAATAACTAAGAGGAGAAAAAGAATTTGAAATGTGTTTATACTGTTAAATATACGTTTACTGGTGTTTAGAAGACCGTATTATTTTAATTTAAATATGAAACTTACGTAATTGCACATAGGTCCAACCCATCCAGAATTGCAGGTACATGCTGGATTATTCGATGCATCGTAACTTCCTTCAACACACTCTGTGCAACAAGATACGTTCATTTGAAATTACATTATTTTAAAGTGAACATGACTGCATTTGCCAAATAATCAATTGAATTACGTTTACATTGTGATACCTATATATATTGTAAATTTACCAGGCATTGTGTTTGCAAATAAAAAAGCTGAAATATGGATAATGTTTATGTCTTTTTCACATGCGCATGTCATCCATAACTCAAACTTAGCAAGCAGTATACTCACTTATATTACACGCATCTCCGAACCAAGTCGCATCGCAAGTACAAGCTACCTGACCACTTGTAGGAGATCCGTTGATGCAGTCTACACACGTATAAAGAGCAACTGTTACTAATGTTTAACGTCAGTAAATATTGGCACAAACAGACACAACAAATTTTAGTTGTAGTAAATTATTCATCGCTATTGTCCTCGAATAAGGAACAAATCGACTCTTTTGAAGTTCATGAAGTTCATTAATCTAATTTACATAACGGTTAACGAAGAAAATTTGACCGAAATAAGAAAGAAAAACATGTTGACGATGCACCACGCAGACAGACGTTTGCTGTTACTTACCGGAAAAATCAAAACCATCGTCTGGTCCTCCCCAGATACTGATGACACCATTACGTGTGCTTCCACTAAATCCTGACTGACCGGGGCGTTTATTCACAATTACGTCACCTCCGTCAGCAGCTGGAATAAAACATATGCATATTTCGTTCATACATTAGAAATGCATTGTAGGATAAATTTGTGTACGGGTTCTGTGTATTGAGTATGAACGTTATCATTGGATTACTTAGTGCCTTATAATTCATTATGTATTATATTTTTTATGTGTGAACTACTACGATTTCTATTATTAATATTTTTTTTAAAATTCATACTTCGTAAAATTTATATCTGCAAATCAATAATGGTTAAAAACAATACGAGACTTACCAATTATTTGTCCATCATGAATAGCTGCAAGGCATATTGGTGTTCCTTCATTGTAGATTCCGTCTCCCATGATATCAACCAAGCTCGGGTCGCAGTTAGCCGGACATGTGAATACGAATAGACTTGGTTGATTTGATACGGTTTGTAAGCAATTTGCATCTATTGTAACTGATATCGTGCAAAATAAAGTGATTATTATACAAAATCATTATATCATTTTTAAATTCCCTAGTAATATATCTCAAACATGTTGGAATTTCCAGACACCGAACATACGACATAAGTCAAAACACCAATCAAAATATATCTTATTAATAATTTTTTTTGCATATATTAGTAGTGAATTAGCTTTTCTGCTTACAACAATCACAGGATAGTTTTCATGTTGACACAAGAATAAGTAAAATGCCATTCTGATAACCACCACATTATGGAACACCAATCTAAACGAAACTTAATGCATCTTTAATTAATAAGACAATTAGTTATAAATGAAAATCGGACAAACACACAACGCTAGTTCTTACATGAAAATATAAACGCATGGTCATACGTATTTAACGGTCCCGGGTCAACTCCATTAGCACTTGTGGCGTCGCCATATGATAAAATCCCTTGTTGTTTCTGAACAACAACAGCACCTCCACTTCCAACTGTAAAAATATTTTGTTAAACTAGCGCTGGTATAATTTTCCGTCAACAAGAATGTATAAGGAAATATGATTCATGTATGCCAAACAACAGTGAATAGCTTGAAATGTGTCTTCAGTACGTTACACTGAGTGATTTGATTGGGGAGTAGCAGTTGTACATTTTATAAAACAAACATTGTCAATTTTTGAGAGACAAATCATCATAAAAAATCATATGTTACGGCCGCAGATTTACAAAGGTTGTTATTATTTATCCCTTACATAGCGAACTCCAGGTAACATGCCAATGTGTAAATTGGATTCTACCGGCCGTTGGTATAAAAAAATGAGTAAAACATATAACATTGAAAGAGATTGGTCTCACTTTATTGCGTAATATTGACTTTATTTGAATATATATATTTTTTACCTGTTAATGTTCCGTCATAAATTGCAGCAACACAAATGAGCGATTGAACCGCAAATATTGAAGTTGCATCATCAAAAACAACGTCAGTTATTATGTCAGTGTTTGTTTCGCAACCAGATGGGCAGTTAAATACAAAAACTTCCTGATCAATATCTTCTGCTGCAACTGCACAATCAGATGGAATTGAACCTAGAAATAAAAGAATTTTCTTCTCAATCTTTCGTTAATACTGAGTGATACTGATAAATTTTTTTACGACTGAGTCGAGAACACACTTTCTCGTGATCTCCTTAATCTTCTAATTACGGTTTTGTAACTATTCGTTTTGTTCCATGATCAATCGTGAGAATGTTTCTCAGTTTTTTGGATTCATCGCGGAAAATATCAAGAACACTATTTATGTTTCTCGTAATAGAAAAACCCTGATGTGTACTAAGATGCCTTAGTTTCAAAGAAACTTATCCTTTGAACAAAAACTGACCTAATTGTGCAAACATTTGCATTCCGTGCATGATGAATAATGATTGCAAAACTGCCCACATAAAAGAATATTGGTCATTGACGAAATCATACATGAATATTAATAACGTTATTTTATATATAAATTCAAGAATAATTTCAATGACAGCAAAGGCAGAGTTAGCGCGCTATAGTAGCCACTTGTTTAGTGAATAGGGATTACTTGAAATACTATTCAAACCAATGATGATAAGAGAAGAGTCGGACGAAAATGAATTTTGCAATCCGGAAGTTCGAGTGTCAAACTTATAGGATAGAAATTATTTAATTACAAGTTGAATCAGGATTAAAACGAGAGCAGATCTACTAATAGATAGACCGGATATTTTTTCGAACAATTGTCAAGTCATAACAACAGCGGTTGGTATTTCGAATGGCAGTTTTGACGAATCAAATTTACTATGTACTTTTAAATTGATTAACAAAATTTGTAATTAATACAAAAGCACAATTCTGTATGATAAAACAGTGCAGTTAATGGTTGCTAGATATATATCTATAAGCAGGTGAATTTTTATTCCATGTAATTTTTTTGGCGATTTCGAGGCAACCAGTCAAAAAATTCATTCATTTCTCGCATTTCACCAATAAATCTAAACATAATCAAAAAGTAGTATGCGGTAATGGAGATAATGAACTTTTGAGAGAGATAAACATTATGTTTTCTGTGTGCATAATACAAAATATCCATTTAACTAGAAATAAGTGTGTTATGTATGAACAATAGCATGATTATTTTCTAATCGAATTTTCATGATATTTGTTGTTATCAAGCAAAGGTAAATGGTGCCCGAATATTTTATGTGCTCTTTTTGATGGATACATTTCACACACAAGTCATTGTCAAATATCATCTTTATTTCAATCATAAGAGGAATATCCTCAACTACTTATCGACACAAGAACAATATTTCACAAAAAATGCTATAAAAATAATTCATGGTATTTACTATCAAACGCAAAGAATTCGGTGGTGGTTGTTGATGCACTGGCAGGGACTATCGTAGTAACTCCGTTTGCTGTCGTCGCCTTCATTAGCGGAGGAGGAATTGAAGTTTGTTTTCGGAAAACAACTTTTCCTCCTGTAACTGTTAAAAATATTTTAGGGTAACTTATTCATTATGATATATTATTTCTGCAGAAGGTAGCAGCTACTAACATGTAGGGATTTTATAGGTATGAAACTCCAATAGCTCACTAAATTGTAATATGCAGAGTGAGTTGGGAGGGGAGCCACACCCTTTTAGCTATATTGGTTATTAAATTTTCCAATCGATTGAAGACGTTGTACAATCAGCTATGGCGATATACAAAACATGAAATGACAGCAATCATATTTGGTATGGCATAGCTCTAATTCATTTGAATAAATTATTAAACTTTGCTATGTGGTGATAGGAATTGAGAGCTGGGGTGATAAATTATATACCTGGAACGTACACATACTGAAGAAGAAATATTGTAGTACTTGACATTTGTGGACTGTTTTTTACTTCCTACAAATACAACTGATTTTCAGCCCGCTAAAGTTATTTATATATTTGGTGTTTCAATATTAAAATTCTATAGGAATCAAGAGATCAATTTCAAGAAATTCTGTAGAAAAATCAATCTGAAATCCTGCAAAATATTTATTTCATAGCTACAATATATGAACTTATCAGTATCACCTGGAGCTACAGCAGCGTGTATCGCAGCGGCACAAACCAGAGAATCTGGTATAAAATAATAAGGGCCTCCCACAACATACACTGATCCGATGTCACAATTTGCGGGGCAATCAAAAGTGGAAGCAATTCCCCCAAAATCCTCAAATCTCTTTTCGCATCCTGCTGGTTGCAAAGCTATAAAATATATATAATTGTAGTGTCAAAAAACGTGAAGAAATCAAGATTTTTCTTTATCTTACTCAAACCCGAGACCATAAGTTTAGGAATTTCAGTGTGACTAAATATGCGCCGGATCGGTAATTGCTGTTCTTTAGAACTCATAAGTGAATGAGAAGTTAATAAGAAGCTTCCACAGTCGTTTTGTTTTTGCTATGCCACTGACAAACAGCGCTGAGAATGGTTTACACTCATTACTTTATGCAAAGAAACAGCTTAAGACTTGCTTTCAACACATCTACCGACTTAATTTTTCAATTTTTATCAGCTTTTGGCCACAGATAATAGTGTGAATATAACAATGAGAAATAATTTGCATCTATATACAAAATATATAATCGATTTTGCTCACCATCAGTTGCCAGAGTACATAATGAGCAAACCAAAACAACAATTGTCAACATTGTTTTTCGATGCAGTTTCATACTTTTTTAAATGCCGATCAGTATATAACCGGAATCCAGCTGAATACTCAATATTCGATATGAACCGAACCGATGCCTTTTATAGACTTCTCTTGCCGCATGCTAGAAAAAAGGCTGAAGGCTTAATTTAAAATACATAATATTTTGTATTTTCAAATACGGCCGAAGAAATATTGCGAATGGCCTAATTATGAGATGAAAGCACCCATATATCTATGTGTATAAAGCTGATTTTGCATTACAGCGATGAAACCTTTGCATCCTTTCCAATGTTGTGAATACAATGAATAGGAAAGTGTCGAGTCATAATCGGAAGACTTGATCCTAATTACCGGAAAACAAAGAATGGGTATATTTATAAGCTTGAATTGTAAAGGATATAAAAAATCATTGTATTCCTTTGATACTTGTACTGGTATAAATGATTCTTACTGTCTGCACAGCATACGATACTGCAAATAAATTTTGGTCGCGCGAAACGGTTCCTCCTTTTAACTTCTATGTTGCAGTACGTACCCATATTTTATTTCTAATGTGCGATGCGGTAAGCGAAAATATCATTGTTTCAATTTCCCCATTTTGGTGATTTACTATCAGAAGTCTTTATTGCGGCGTTCGTAACCGTTTGTAACTATATTAGCAGGTTTGATCATGGGAATGTGATTCGCATGGGAATCCTATGGGATGGTATGGGACAATAGACATTTGTATTTCCCATAGGACACGCATTTTTGAGACACCCATTTTTATAAAAGATTCTTGGAAGAATGAAAACAGGCTCCCACTGCTGGAAGCTGGTGCAAAATTTGTTTTGGCCGTAGCCTACCAGTGTGAGCTGCGACAGTGGAGTGCCTATTTAGGTTGGGCGATTCATTATTGAGTAAGCTACGACAACGGATGTTACCTTCTCTCGTTATAAACTTCGTAGGCTATAATACATCAGATTTGCGTGTAAAATGAAAATAAAGAAAATGGTTCAAGACTCACCTGGACTAACAACAGCCGATGAGCATGAAATTAATAATTCGCTGAATGAGCAGAGTGACTCAAAAATAGAATGAGAGTACCATAATGATTCTGAATTGCCGCAGTGGACCCATGGATATTCTTGTTACTATCTTGCCCTTCTCATTATTGCTCTTGTTTTTCTTCCTATTTTTATGACAAAATCACCTTTCTCTTCAATTACTGGACCAATTGCTTTTGCAAGTCCCCAAAATTTCCGTTGATTGAAAATTGTATGTTTGTTTCACTAAAAGGCTATTGCTACGAAAGTTTTATTTTTGACAGCTGATACTTTGAAGGTGATTGATTTCCATATAAAAAACTTCGGACTTCGCTGACCTTCAGATCGTTAATATGCGTTCGCAAACCCCATACGGTGCACATTTATTAATGACGTCATCACGCAAAACTTGAAAGTGAAAACGAGTTTCATAAAGCTAACAGATTTGTTTTAAATGTAAAATAAATAATAAATTTAAAAATAATTCTTGCAGTAGGCTACATGGTTGCAAACATGGCAAACTATCAGAATATAAAAATCGAAAATAAAAATAATATTCAGGAAATATTTTTGTATAAAAGATTTAATTCCAATTTTGTCATAAACATAGTCTTTGGCAACTGAAATGTGTTCAATTCGGTATAGAAACTTCTCATTCGCATTTGGGAGATGAAACCATTACGTTCTTCCTGCAATGATTTGAATACACTGGATAAGGAAACGCATAATCATAATTGGCAAAAGAGATTCTAACTAATATCGAACAAAGAATGGAAATATTTTGAAGGTAAAGGATGCAATGAATAATTGCTTTCCTCCGCAATGTGTATTGACATAAAGCTTGCAATACTGAAGAAATCGGCGGTATGGGGCATCATTATAAGCGTTAAGAATACGCTTGCCCCCGTTCCTTCGATTAGCCTGCTCGGGTTCGCCCGTTACAATTCCACTGGGGATAATTAGGTAGGCCTACGGGAGAATTGCTGGACTCCTCTCCAGCGAATGGTGAATGGCGTAACCGCTGGTCAGTTGCGTCCTCATCCACTACCAAGTCCTTGGTATGATACCGATGACGTGAAGTCAAACTATATATATATGCATCTAATAAATATTGAAAACATAGATGCCATGTATGTCCGTCGATTGGACTCGAATGCAATAGTTCAGAAATTGCAAATAAATTTATCTTATTCATTCGAATATTACGCGCAAAATTTTGTACTAATTTTCAATAAAAAATTAAGGTTGCGTAGTATACGTGGGTAATAAATATGGGGTAAAGTATTTTATACCAATTTTCAATCAAATGTATTAGAGCGCGTTATACTCGAATATATTAAACACTCTTCCCAAGTGGCACAGAGCTTCCTTGAAAATAAACCACAACTAGCTAGCTGTGACAATTATCGTCTCTCATATTTTAAGAAAAGATAGAATTTACAGATCTTGGGAGGCATGACTTCTCATTCGCGTTTTTAAGGCCAGCTATATATCAATAGAAAAATTAAACATCATACGCAAACTGAAGCCCAAGTCAAGTTTTGGAATCGGTGGTATTCGTATTTCATTCAAAAATTTAAAATATCTTCTGGAACATATTATTAATATCCTGGCTTATATAATAAACTTCTCGCCAATATCCAGTAGACTGCTGTTTAGGGGGATTCGGAGAACACAGGATGAAATATTCGTTCCTGAAGGTCCCGTCCCGTCAGAGCATAATAAGAAAAAGACCGCGCCCAAAAGTTAATTTTTAGTATCAACGTCTGTGGCGCATTGTGACTCAAGTTTAAGAGTGGCACAGCGTGACCACCACTACATGAGTTGTGCAAAGTTCCTCAAAGAAATTTACTCGGCGTGTTATTTTTCCGACCCTACACATAAACGACATACCTAGGTGTCCGGATCATGAGTCGATCATGTTTGCTGATGACACTGATTTGATTCTCTATAGCAGGCATTGCGAACCTTTTTCAATGAATGGGTCGACAATTATATTTTTATCGCGGAACAGAAGAGAGTGGGTCACAGGTATTTAATCAATATTTTTATCTATAAGAAACTTCTGTTGAGCTTGGTGTAGTTTTGGGTTTTACTTATGCAGCACTTCTATTAGGGACTTTTTATGGCACTCGATTTTATAAAACTAGAGTACGAAAACACGATTATAAATTACCAAACACGTTTAGGATGATGCGGTAAAATATTGTACGGTTCTAAAGAGTTTGGAGAGAATTCCACTCTGATAGTGTTATATTTTTCGATCATCTTTCAATCACAGTTATTTCAGATCTCTAGGTTTTTATTTGAAGTCTGAAAGATTTTGTTTTCTCAACTTCATTGTAGGCAAGAAATTAAAATAAAATGCAAAGGAGCCTCGTATAACCCCTAAAACAGTCTGCAGATGCACTTCCGTAAGAGACAAGACGTTGCGAGAAATGAACAGATCAATTGCAGCGTTATGTCATAAACGTTGTCAATGGCAAACAATTGAAAGAATGTCAATAAAGGCTACGTCGGCCGTTTTTCCAGAAGCATTGACTGGGCCACGTCGCAGTCCATGAAAATTCCATCATCTGGGTCAATGACTCTCGGTAATAAATGCAAACAAAAATTCGCCACTGCACCTTCAGAGCAAAGCTTATAGAAAACTACCCTACAACGCTAGTAATTAGTGTAGGCCTCAACTCTAATTATACAGATTCTATTTGTTGCCAGCGACTTCGAGTCCAGCCATATATATATATATTGCCTGATCGAACGCTCGTGATTAGGGCTGGCATTTTAGAATACCTGATGATTTTGGAATTAAATCGAATATCGCGATTTGAAATTTTCGTTGAACCGATTCGAATACTTTACTAGTTTACTATAATTGATTTAACACGGACGTGATTAATTTATCTACGACCAGTCTCATTGCCATCGTCTCCTAGCTATAACCACCTTAAATTCGACTACTTTTTGTTATTTCATTGAAAGAAAATGACCGATAAAGATGGGATGAGATTATAAGTCGCAATGATTAAAAACGTAGCGACCCTCACCAAGAATGCGGACTACTTAAAATTTGTCATCTGCCTCCTGCCTGGGACAGGATGAGCGCTGTAAGTTCTCCCATCATTTTATGAGTATAAAAACCATTCCATCGGTAACAACCAATCGGCAAAAGCGACAATTTTTAACGATAAGAAAGTGTCTTTAAAACCGTTCCAAGTCAAGGGATTAATAAATATAGACATAGTTTATTTTGAAACCTCTTTCAAAAGGAAAGGCAATATTTACCCAGATAAATACAATGACATATTAACAGAAACTTCGGGAAAGCAGACAAAACCCTAAAATAAGGTTTAAAACGTTACTATGAAGAAAGGGAAGATAATGCAAAGATAAGGACATGCGTCGCTCACTCATAGATATATATGCTGCTAGACTTCTACTGCTTGAACATATATGCAACACGCCGCGGTTTCTTGGAAGCAAAATGCTCAATAACGCGCTGATTAAAGTCATGCATCCCAGAAATAACGTCTCTGTGAATGGATAAAACAGCCAAGGAATTTAATCTATCTTGCTTCATTGTGTTTCTGAGATACGTTTTAATACGCTTCAGCGTGCTGAATGTTCGCTCTGCGTCGGCGGAAGAAATAGGCGTCGTCAAAATGATGTCCAGAAATTTTGCAGACGCCGGCAAAGGTAGTTACTAGAGTGTTATCTATGAGGAACCCATAGAGCACGCAAGTTGATGTGATGTTCAAGAAAGTTTGATTGGTGTATATACATCGCAATTCCATTTTCCAATTTACCCACGTTTATCATGGGGTAAAATTTGGAGACAGTAGCCAACAATGGATGGGAAATTGACGTGCAAATTTTGAAAAATTTTTGGGGTTTATCAAAGAGAACCGCGGCAAGGTGTTCAGTGCGCAGACGATCGCCTATTTGATTCACTAGAATGTCACAGCTTCCTTTGCAGACAAAATCAAACGCTGCGTTGTTTGCCCCGCGGCGTAAGAAGCACTCATGTGTCCGTCGTATTTTTATTGTTTCCCCGGATACGAGATACAGCATCGCAGAAGTCTGAAATACACGACTGCACAGACGCTCCATCCATTAGCCTTTGACTGCAATGCGCCGTATAATACATCCACGTGGATAGAATATTGTGGAGAAAAAAGCGAGAAAAATGAAAACTCACCATCCTCGCAGACGCTCTAGACCTGCCGCTCCCTCACAGAGCGTTCGTCCAAACGAGGGCTCTGAATGCATTGAAACACTCAATGAGCTCAGACCTAATTTCGGACACGCCCTGCACCACGCGTGATTGGAAGGTTCCAACGTGTTGGTGCACAAGCTGAGACGGCGGCTACATATCTGGCGAAGGAGGTCAGAGCGCTTCGGCGAGACGGAAAAAAATGAAGAAAACCCCGAAACATTTGCAAAAATATACAGACGAGAGGGGTATCAAGACACATATTTTGATAACGAGGTTAAATTGGTGTGCATAACAATGTAAAAAATGCGCATGAGGAAAATCTTCTTTTATATAAACTTGAACACCATTTGTGACCCCACGCATGACTGCCGCGCCGTCATAAGTTTGAGCTATCAATTTTGACTTCGCGTTGTAAGGCTGTAACACTTCTTTCAGTACAGCCGATATCCCGCAAGCCGTGCGATCAACGATTGGTACAAAGCTGTGAAATCTCTCGGTAGGTTTACCATCTTTCACAAACCGAAAAATCACAGCCAGTTGGGAAACGCACGTGATGTCAGTTGTCTCGTCAGACTGAATCGAAAGGAACTGGCAATTCTCAATTTCCAGAGCCAAATGTTGTAAATAAATTTTGTACATTGAGTCGAGCAAATCATTTTGGATATCCTTAGATGTCCCTTTCGAAACAGTTGCGGCATCAAGATGATCTCTCAATACTGTATCTAGGGATGCGGTGTATTCCACCATATCCAAAAATACCCCTCTATTAGAAGAGCCAGCCCGTTCATCGTGCCCACGGAGGGACAGCTCGTGACAACCAATGAACTTCAAAACATCTATCAATCGACCGAGAACATGGCGGTTTTTCTCGACGTTTTGGTTGTGCCGACGAATAGAAACCGCGCGTCCTTCATCCAACTGTGCTGCAATATTAACATTTCCGAATGTTCGGTATTTTACTGCATTGTCCAGATGCTCCATAGAAGATTGATGATCCCTGGCACGCTCGGAAAGATGTTTAAGATCTCTAAAACCAACTTTACACCAACGTGAGTCACGGGCGGTAGCAAAAGGTAGGCAATAAAAACAAAAAAGTGCATTTTTGTCCTCGCTGTAACACAACCATTCGTGTTTTTTATACCAAGTTTCTGCGCAGAATGTACGCCGACGCTTTCCTCCGTCATGGGATTGTTCCAGTGAACAATTTTTTGGTTGATAAGGCCCAAGACGTTGTACCTCTAATTTTTGTTCCAGCGGCAGCTGCGAAAACGGAGTGCGAAGTAGTGCATCAACCTTATTCATTATGAGGTCTAAGGCTAAGAAATGCGAAGCCGGAAAGAAGTGAGGAGCTCAAAAGGAATGTGGAAAATCGAAAGCAAATGGACTAAAGGTCTCTAACTGATTCAAATAGCGAAACAAGCGACAAAAACGAAGGCGAGGAAACTATCAACTCTTCAAGCAACCAACGAACGAGAAGGAATGCGTGAATATGTCAACACGTTGTTGTAAGAAACGTCGGCATTGTGTCGTCATAATTTCGGGCTAGCCCCGATGATTTAGTAAAAGAAACAGAAAACAAACGAGACAAACGCGGCGAGTGGAAGATGAAAGAGAGAATACGATATACAATGAGCAACCGGGCAAAATCGGCGTCGCCCCGTCGACGTTCGGCGAAGGCTTTGCGAGCGAAAAATGAACCATGTCGGGAGAATATGGCTAGTGTAGACAGTCTGTGCAGCCGATATTGAGGTATTTTTCGAATATTTTTTTATACCGAAAAATCCCTATTGACGCGCCGCCACTGATATGTTCATTAGTGAAATGTACATGAATGCAAATGTACATGGGTGTTTGTGAGTGCAAATGTACATGGGTGCAATCTATATTCGGGTGCCAAAATCTATAGGTGCAGTTTATGAGTGAGAATTTATGGGGGTGCAAATATGCTGTCACCGAAAATTTGATTACATCGTGTGGAATTTGTGCCATCCGAATTATGCTAATTAATTTTACATAGGGTTGAAAAAGTATTTAATTATACAGCAACAATTTTTAAAGTAGGGGCAGAAGACCGTGAAAAATTTCACCAAACTGGGCCTGATGATTAAAATATCGATGATAGATCCAAGGCTTAGTGAAGCATAAATCAATTGATAGTTTCAATAATACAAGTGGGACCCTCGAAGTTTTATTGCTGTAAATAGCACGATTATATCAATGGAGGAGAAAATTTTTCTGTTCTTACGTTTATGAATTCATCCACCACAATGATGATTTGATCAAGATACCGACGGTCGTGCAATTGCATATTTATCACTCTCGGCGAATAAATGAGAGTATCCCAATCAATTGATGCCCGTCAAAAGGCATGATAATGATTAAATATACTTACAGCAACACCAGAATAGCGATATTAGAACACTCTTTACTTATGAAATTCACGGCAGACAAAATAGCCAAAGGCCGTGAGCCAACTTTGACAAGTCACATGGTATGACAATAAAAAATATGACCTATATTTATAACATGATCTTTCCAGTCAAAGGATTGTAATCTTGCATGGTATAAAACAAAGTTGAGGATATATATAAGTGTGTGTCATTGTGAATGCATAAGGGCATAATCGGCTAAGGAGAGCTCTGCATGTAAATGAACAGCTTAGGATGTAGAGAAGAAATAGTTGTGTAAGAATTTAATAAACAGAAAATTTATTTCATGTTGTAAAGTATATATTCTAGAATAGTATTAGATCCTCAGCCCCATAATCGGCAGCACAAGTATTTCCTACATGCAATCATGTTCATTTTGGCATGAAAAAGACATAGTTTGCCAGTAACCATAATATTGGGAAATTTCAATCATAACAATTACCTTTGTGAACATGCATGTTTATCCCAATGAAATTTGCCCATTGGATGCGTCTAACGTTGTGGTAAATCGAAACGTTTACTCCACACAAACTAGTAATTTGTGATCCTGATTCTAATCAATTTTTTCACTGCAAACTTTAATTCATACACTCTTACAAAACAAGGAGTCCTGTCATAATCACAAACAAATTGATAGAAAAGTAATTTATTTATAAACGATGCACGAGGATGGTAAAAAATACAAAACGCAAATACTGAAGAAAAGTTCTACCTCCGTTCGAAAATCACATTACTTCCAAGTTTTCTTTTTAAATTTTAATTCTTCTCTAATCAGCATACTTTTTTTGTATAAAGCGGCAGCTTCTTCAAATTCTTTTCTATCATACCTATAAAACACTGAAAACTAATGAACGAAATAAATAAAACCAAAAATACATTGGACTGCAATTAGTTTTAGTCATTTATTATTTAATAATGTAAGTTCGGTATTTCCGAAGTGTGTGAACCAAGATGGTGGACACCGGAATGTTGTATGTGTACCAGGTTAGGCCATAATTTTATTTCAATTTTCCTCATTTTAGTTCTATTACGAGTTCGGGGATTAGTTAAGGGACTCTCGTAGTATTTGTACCTGAAATTATGGCCTAACCCTAATCTGGTATACATACTACGTTCCGGTGTCCGCGATCTTGGTTCACATACCCAGGGAGTACCGTAAATTCTATTCCAGAGTCTCTCAAATCTTCCAAGTGAAAAGTTCAAACCTAATACTAGAACTTTAAATTTAACCATATTTGAAGTGACCTTAAAAGATATCCCGCTGATTCTAATATCATTTCATTAAAAACTAGCAAAATATATTAGCTTTTACCTCAAGACAGCAATATTTCTCAATGTGTCAGCAACTTGTTTACTGGAGGATCCATGTTTAATTGCATAAATATCAAGAGCTTGTTGATATAACGGAAGTGCAGAATCGTGCTGACCAATTTGACTTTCTACAACTGCAAGATTTACCTATACAAAGAATGAAGAAAATTAGTGTTTCAATACTGTTTCAAGGATGTGAAAAAATTCCCCAAAGAGAAATTGACTTGCTACTAAAGTAAGAAACTGTTCAGTACTCATGCATGCAACCATGAAAATAACAACCAACCTATCAGTTTGCTGTTTTCCTCACTTTACCAATTTCTAGCAATAACTCATATTAGCAAAAGAAGAAGATATATCATTATACAATAACTAGTAATGAAATATGTTATAATGCTCTATTACTACTTAACGCCTTTAATCTTATTTAATCGTCCAAGATTCAAGAACTATTGTCATACCATTGCAGTTGCTGTTATAGAACTGTCATCCCCCTGAATTACTTTTGACATTTTCAACACTTCTTCATAAACATCTCTTGCAAGTTCATATTGTTGTGATTTTTTATAAAGAATTGCAAGATGTTTTGCTGTCGAAAAAACTAAAGGATTGTGTTCTCCAAATATTTCTCTCCTACAAAATGAATTACAAAATTGTTTTATTCGGTACAACTAAAGTTATTAATAGTGAAATAAAACGGACCAACCTTATTTTCAATGATTTTTTCATACAATCCACAGCTTGTTGATGAAACTTTTGTTCATTGTAAACAGCTGATAAATTATGAAGACATTGTGCAACATCTGCATGATTTTTTCCAAGCAATTTTTCACGCATGGCCAGAGATTTTTTCAAAAAAGATTCTGCAGAACTGATACAATTAAAGTTGCTTAGTGAAAAGCGTGGCATAAAGTATTCAGAAATTTATTACAACCATGACTTGGACATCGGTCTTATTGGTAAAAAGATCAAATTTAAAAAATTTACGCCAAACATTTAACTGACTAGAATATCAATATAATTCTACACAAGAGTTTCAAAAAACGATAGTCAAGTAAACACATAGATAGAAAGTTCAAAAACCACTAGGCATGCCAACAAATAAAGACTACTAATGTAGAATATATATATATTAACATATATTTTTTACCTATATTTCTTTTGCACATAGCACAATACACCCAACTCATTCATTGAATTTGCCAAATTTACAGATTCTTGCCCTGTGGCCAAATCTTCTAATTTTGCTGTTCTCTTCTAAGCCTATCAAGTCGGGCCTGAAATTCAGTCAAACAATATTATTCTGCATAACATTAAAAAAAAATATATTAGAAAACTTTTTTGGATGAACAACAAAGACAAGCCAATGACAAAGTATTTTCAAAATGAATTGAAAATGTCATTAAAATGGGGTTATCTATCATTTATTACTTTTATTCTTATGCTATATTGGGTCAATGAATTTAAAGTTAGAAATGCAGTGGGGCAATAAGGCCGACCAAGGTGAGATGAAGAGGGTAGGCTGAGAAATAGACAGACCGGTACTCCCATAGTGAGTGTACCAGACTAGAGTTAGGCCATAATTTTATTCCGATTTTCTGTTTTTTAGTTCTATTACGAGTTCGGGGACTGTTTGTATTAGTCAAGCGAATACACTCTCTGCCCATAGGCTACAGTCCCTTCACACAACTTGATGTAAATTAGGTGAACAAAATTAGTTATCTCCATATTGGTACACACACTTTTGGAGTGTCTTCAAAACAATTTGAAATAGTACATACCGAAGTAAATAAAACTCCACCGTTTCTATCTTGTAATGAATGAATTCGTTTAGCAATTATGTCGGCTTGATCGTGTCTTTCTTGCTTTCTAATCACAAAAGATAGAGATTGAAGTTCTTGAATCACTCGAGGATGTTCTCTTCCTGCTGCACACTCAACCAACTCAAGGGAATGTCTAAAGATCAATTAAAATAGCTAGCATCTGTTTAAGGGGATAAACACCAAAGAAGATATAAATGATGCAGGATTGATAACATATAACTCCCAAGCTTGAATATAATTGCTCAGTATAGGCACCATATTCTACTTAAATAGCTTCTATTTTTATTACATCAGTCAGATCCAGATGTCTCGAACATAGAAGTAAACATATTCACATACAAACATTCAGAATAACTTCATATTTTTCATATTGAACATATATAGGTGTCTGATTCAACTCAGAGACTTTGTATTAAAAAGTATTAATAGCTATAAAAGCTCTCGTGTGACGAAAAAATAAACTGTAATTATTACGCAGTACTATGTTTCATTCTAAGAGAAGACTCACTTCAGAAGTGGTTCTGCCATTGCATATTTTTTCCACTTTATATATACTGTTGCTAGATAATGTAATGAATCAGCAACAAATGGATGATCTGGATCCAATTCACTCTCTCGTATCTCCATAGATCGCTGAATACAGGTGACAGCCTAAACAAGATATATTTTTTACACTTATATTTTATTACATGAAATAATTCTTTAGGGAAACAATACGCAGAAGAAAAATCAAATTTTGTCCACATATGTAACTACTTGAATAGCAGCAGCCTATGGTCATACCCCATCAAACTGTTAAGAATAAGTGGCTGACAACAGTTGTTAGTTGAGTATCTTACTAAATAGAAATGCTCTTGTTCAAAATTTAAATTATTTTCTTCATTTTCTGACAGTTTTGCCAAGCCGTTGGCTGCAGAATCAATTGTTTCAGTCAAAAACATAGTTCGTAATCTCAAAGTACCACTCTGGGGTGCTGCAGGGGCACAGATATATTGGCAAAATTTTGCCAGTGGTATGATGCCCGTCATTGCATCTTTGACTAACATGCATTAGATTGCAGATTTGTATTTATTTTATGATGCTAAGTAGGCTATCACAATTTTGCCATCACTTTGCAGTTCACTTTCTGTGTTCAACTATTCTGTGCAATCACAAGTCATCAGAGCAGAAGAAAAAATTTATGGGCTTGATTTGAAGATACCTTACTTCAATAAACCTTGATAAAACAAACTTTTCCTACATCTTCCATTAATCCCAGATCTCTTAAAAATCTACCAACAGATTCATAAACATTAGATATCAAGAGATGATCAGTCAGACGTTGAGAATTTCCAGAAAACAAGCTACTGGAACTGCCAGTTTGTGATGACAACTCCCCTCGACTTAAGAATAATAACATATCCATGTATAGCCTGACTATGCCTTGTTTATCTTCATCACAATATTGCCAATATTCAACCAGTTCACCAGCTCGTCCACTGAAATATTAAACTTATCAGAATAAAAAAATAAACTTTATCTACATTCCCAAATTCAGGATGTATGAATAAATAAGCAACTGTGTTGGTAATACATAAATATATACTGAATACAGCAAATATATTTAAAGTCTAATAACACTTTGAAATGCAAGTAAAGTAAGGTGCCGCCAATCTCTCATGTAAAATCGGTTGTTCAGTACTGAGATAAAGGTTATGAAATATATTTGGTTGAAGTAAACATTCTCGCATTCCGTTGACTGATTTTGCATGCCGTAGTAACCATGGCAACATTTCTGCAGTTCGACGATATTCTAGCGAAGAATTCCTGGCGAAGTACTGAATCAACAGTCGTGTTGAAGATTTCCTAATCTTATCCTGAATATAAGTTTCAGCTATGAACAGAGGAAATCTGAAAAAAAAATTCAAATTTTGAAAATTAATTTCTGAGAAATTCTATCAAACTACCGGTAGTTCATATTATTTATTACTTACCGAAGAATTACACACACAAACCAGACCTGCCCTCTCTGAAAGTATGCAGAATTGAACAAGTAACAAATGTAAACATGACCATGTTTGCCATGATAAACCTGGAATTAATCGTAATAACTCGCATTCGTTCAAACCCGATCTTGAACAATAAATCAACTAAAAAAGAGATTTAGAAAGGGTTATCAAAACAGAAAAATTATAGATAGAGCTTAGAAAGTACGTTTCCAAAGAAATACATTCTGATTTGGTTACATCCTATTTGAAAACACCGGGTACATCAGTGAAATGTATATTCTTACAAATTTGTTCGAATGGTTGAATTAGAAATGGTCAAATACTTGGTAAATTGAATAAATTTTTCATTGCATCTAATTGACTTGCTAACTTTCGTTAGATCTTTTATGCTATTTAGTAGTTGATGCTATACACAAAAATATAATAAAAATATGATGAGACTCTACCTGTAAGATGTGTATAAACTGTTCTTGTATCTGTGTATTGATACATTCGCTTTCAATATGTTTCAACAATACACGATACATCTCTGAACAATCTCGTGTTTTTAGACAACTTTGAAAAAAAGTTTCTTTCCGATTGTTCATACAAACACTGCAGAAAGAACAGAACAAGTAATTAGTGGTAAAATATATTCAACACCTATTTATCATAAGTCTTCAAGGCATTTTGTTTGTTATCATGCAGGCTAGAAAAAAAAATTCTTCCTGGTTCAGCATTGGCCATTTAATTTATTTTCTGAGTACACCACCATGGAATTTGACCTAAGATGTTTAATCTGCGACACCAACACAGTTAGGTCTAAAGCTTAACCGCAAGCACATCACGGCACTCAATGAGTATCAATTTGGTGAAACTCTAAATGTTGGATCATTAACAAAAATCAATAATTATTTTTTGGGGTTGGTCTCAAACAGTTTACTCCGTTTTGTCCAGAAAAGGGTTAGGAAAGGATACATGAAAAATGCTACAATGAACAATATTGCGAAATGGACATAAATTATTTGTAATTTACCACAATTCGATGCCAAATCAATCCATTTATTTAATATAAAAGTCCAGGATACAGTGCTACAGAGGCAATTAAAATTTTAAATTAAGTCAGCAAAATAAATAGTTGACAGATGAGGAACAAAAACCCAAAACATGGGAAATTCATGCTTTACCTGCATAAACTTTCAACAATAAAACAACATAGAGTGGATGACAGGTGCTAGCTGTTCTACATTGAGCTGTTACATCATTTTCCTGGTGATGAGAAAAAAAACAAATGCATGCATGTAAACACAAGCAACATAAAATTTGCAACAAAATAATACTGAAATAAAATCACAACATAATATAATAACTCATACACATGCGAACCTTTCATGAAAGGAAACAAAAATATCCAAAACCAAATCAAGAAAAATATGATATAACATTTATATGTTGAGCAATAATGAAGCCTAAAAATTATAATTTAAATATACCTGAGAACTTTTAAATTGTACTTTTTCCCGCTCTGCAAATTCTGCCATAATCGCACGAACGCATTGAAATGAAAAAGGTTCGAGGTGTAAGGTTGGCCACTGTCGCCAGATATCTGGACAAGAATTGGCTCCCACTGATATTACGACTCTGAGACCAACTGGAAGAGGATCCAATAACCATTTGAAATGTTTACTCGAATCCTGAAAAGATATTATTACAAAGATATTATTTCTTAAAATATTAAACTTGACTGATACCCAATTTTAACTTAAGAGTTAGCACCTGCATCCAGAATTTTAAAGTGTAAAAACACAATATACATAAATATATATATTGTTTGACCTTTCATTTGTACTTCGTAGACATCTTTTTATGGAGTATTTGAAACTACTATATTCCGTGTCAACAGCAATTTCTCCCAACTATCCACAATTCTTGATGTCCTATCCATACAGAACACTACAAAAATCTTCTTAATGTAAAGTGATGCAAATTTTATGTGGGAATGTGCAGTAGTAGAGCTGTAGTAGGGGTGTGCAACATTTTTTGTCAATGGGCTATGTAACCAACCTTAGACAATTAGCTGGGCCACACAAAAAATCTGGTTTTTCCATGTACACAATGAATAAGAAAGGCAAGAGAAGAGAATGCGGCTATCACTTAGACTCACAGCAATGATGGCACTGGAAAAAACGCCTAAAATTTAACGCAGTGACAAGAACAAAAGAGCAGTAAGTATTTATTCACATGAGTGCCTTATTTAACACGAACTGTCAGACTAGGATTTTACGCTTGATATGGGAAATCTGAGTGTTGATAAGGGCCACACTAAATCGATCAGCGGGCCGGATTGTGGCCCGCAAGCCCTGTTGCACACCCCTGGCTAACGATATATAGCCAATCAGCACACAAACTCATAAATGTATTAATCAAAGAAGGTATGATGTTGTTTTCGAATAATTATTTTAGTAATTTACAAATTCAAAATAAATCTACCAGTGATGAATAAACATACTGTTATCATGTCCATAGAATCAATTGCTAAGAGAACTCTAGCATTCTTTGTAGTGCTCACTCTCTCCAACCAACGTGGCAGTAAGACTTTGAGATGAGCAACATCATAGCTTGATAAAGCAAAAGATGGTGGAGCAAGAGAAGGTGGAAGTTGTGCACAAACTTGAAACAACATTCGCCTGCAATGAAAGAAGAAATTGGTTATAACATCGCATGTTACAAAGTAAGATGGGTGTATTTGTACTAATATGGAGGTAACTAATTTTGTTCGCCCATTTTAAAAATCAAGTTGTGTAAAGGGACTGAAACCTATGGGCAGAGGGTATATTCACTTGGCTAACACAGACAGTCCCCGAACTCGTAATTGAACCAAAATAAGGAAAATCGGCCTAGCCCTAACCTGGTACACATACTGCGGGAGTACCGTTAGATGTAACAGGCACTGATTATTGTAGAAATGAATGCATTTACTCTGAGCACAAATAGTAATGCGCTTATTTGATCTGAAGCAATATACAAGTATCGAGGAATCACTGATATGTAGCAGCTATTATTATTTGGATGGAAATCTTTCCAGTTCGTCATTGCCTACCTAATTTATTACCCCAGAGAGAGATGTGAAATCAATGCTAATTAAGCTATTTCAATTTAGAGAATCAAAATTCTTTATTAATAAAGACTTGAAAAATAAATAAATAAACTTATATAAATAATAACAGAATGCCTAGTGAGAAGAGAAATACAAATAAAAAATACCTCATCATAACTACAGGGTCTGCAGTTGCAGATTTGCTTGATGTCACAAAATGTTGAAATATGACGAAATTCTGATTCATATTGCGAAGGCATTCAACCCATCTTAATAAATTGACAAAACAACTGTTGTATCATCATTATTCATGACTATCAAGTTCGCTGATGCTATTTCATACGAATACGTTTATCAAAATTTCTTCTCAATAAAATTATTTTATGAAAAATGAGATTTTATGAAAAGCTTTTTTCATTCGAATAAAAATTTTTTTTTTTTTGAAAAATACAAACTTACGATTTAATTAAAGTGGTTTTTCCAGAACCACATCCACCTGATATTAGGAGGGGAGGTGTTGGACCTGGTGATGAAACCAAGTCATTCAATCTTTCATAATACTGAAAATAAAAAAGACTTATAACATATTCCAGCAAATTTACTCGGCATTATACTACAATGCATTGGAAATAACCATGATCTGTCTTTTACAGATTAGCAGATGCTTTCCTACACTATATAAATTAAAGCATGATCCTGGAGGTACTAAAAAAAATTAATATATTAGAATGCTCTAATCAACTTTTTGAAAAAGAAACAGCTATTACTATACCTTTCTAAAACCAATTGGCTTCATGTCATTTTCATTCACGAAGGCAATTTCTCTTTGTTCCTGTTCTATACTTTCATCAAGTTGTATTTCATCCACACAACCAACTTCATTTGGTTCTGTTTTTTCATCGATCCCAACTCCCAATTCCTTAAATATGAATCGAAAACGAATTCAACTGCAGTAGATAATCTGTATATTTTATTATAAGAGCCAGGCACAGCCAGGATTTTCAAAGTGGGGGAAGAGGATTCAAAAATGAACCAATAACAACTTTCAACAAATATTCACTCACCATTTTAGCTATTCGTTTGATTTCTTTAATAGATGCTGCAACCCCTTCTGAACATCTGTTGTAATATTGTACATTTCCATTCCTTGAATTTTCAATGGCAGTTCGTAGGCTTTTGATAGACTCTGATTTATCTGAATCTGTTTTATTATTACACTGAAGAAAAAATCAGAAAAAAATTACAAGATTGAAATTGACATATTGTTAACTTTAAAATATATATTAATTTAACTTTTATATAGATTCGTTTCATGTCCCAAATGGAAAAAAGATTCTTTATATTTCATTCTTCCACAGAAATTATCAAATTTACGAGTCTTGTACAAGCCTTACCTCAAAAACAGAAAAATTAAGCAACAGTTAAATTTGAAATCGGGTATTCTACAATAATCGAATCGGAATGAATCCGTGAATGAAGTTAATACTCAAACAATGTCATTACTGTAGCAAATCTCACCTCTTTCAATAAATACACTACATTGGTTTTCGAACCATAATCTTCAGAGCTATTTAATCTGCATTCAAGCTCGGTGTACCTGATAATAAACATAAATTATCACAGAAAAAATTGAAAAAACAGAGAGAAATGAATTTCTAAGCTTAGTAGATCATGCTCGAAATAGTGATGTAGAAAAATTACTATCCCAAATTGGCACAATTATAAATTACATGAAAATAGTTGGACACGCCTCAATTAAGTACAGAATATTTTTTAGCTTCAATACATATGCATAATGAAAATCAATAACTTGTTCCGATTTCAAACTAAGCAGTCACAAAATAACACAAACCGTCCTGCTTCATGGCCAATGAAACAAATAACGAGATCCGAAATATTAATTGTATGAGAAACAATTTCATCAACTGAAACTGAGTGATGACAGCTAGATACCAATGGATTCTTCAAATTCAAGCCTACAATAAAAGAAGAGATACATTGCTTTACAAAAACAGCGATGACTAAAATAGCATGCAACATTATGTCAGTTCAATTAATGATGTATACATGTTCAAAATTCAATTTCCAATATGACTTTCAAAATCTTGTATCATCACACTGAATTTTTTATGAGGTGGTGTTAATCTTTTCAAATCAGGACAAAGTTTGAAGAAAAAATGTTATTTCTTCAAAAAACCGAATTCTTCCTTCCGTAACAGTTAGCTAATATATCGCATCCTGGATATTTTACATTCACATCACACACAAACTAATTATTCAGGGATATTTTCAAGTCTCAGGTAGTCAGGTTAGTCAAACATTTTTCTAACAGACAAGATTCAAAATATACATGACTTCTTGTTTTACCTTCTAAAGACACAATAGATAGAAAATATCCTTCCATTGCACAATTTTTTGTTAGCAATTTCAAATCTTCTGACTTTAGCAATGAAGCAACTTCCTTATGGCAATCTGCAGTACCGGTTATATAACATCTGATAGATAAAGGAGATTGTATATTAGTTAATAACATGCAGATAAATTCTTACATCAATTCTGGCCGATTGGAAGACAGATGTTGCCAGTTGCCAATAACCAAATGTTGTTGTATCAAAGAACAATTTTTACATTAAAACCGATTTTCAATCTTTGAAAAGAAAATTTACTAATCATAACTTTTAGTCAGTTAATATAATTCATGAAACAAATGTAGCTTGAAATGGTGATGAAGATAAGGAAGTTTTCCTGACATGGAAAGAAGAAGATCCAGTCCCTAATGGGCACTATTACTGCTGTACATAGGCTGATGCTTTGGACACAAACTTAGACACAAAATTCACTCAGAAATTGTGATAATACATTTTAAAAAATTGGCAGAATCGCAGTAAAATCAATGGCTTAAATAAGTATACGTTGTTATGCTATCCTTAGCTAGAAAAGGGAAAATGTTTGAATATCCTCCAAGCTTTCCAACAAATCAAATTAACCATTGATTGATAATTTTTTAATTTGATAATCTAAATACCTCAGTGAATTTCTTTCAAAATATTCAGGATCTGTATAGTCGGGCAGCATGCTGTTACTTCCAAAGTTGCTTGAATTGGTAAGTTGATAGTTTCCATTTGACAAAACTTCATCAAAATGCAACTGAAAGTATCATGCACATGATAATTTAATATTAGAAATAGATAACCTATTTCTCCAATGTCGGCACCCAAACAACTAAGAAAATAACAAGATCAAAAGAGGAAACAACATAGCAATATATTCGACGCTCCAAAAGTATGTGTACTAATATAGAGGTGCGGTAACTAATTTTGTTCACCTACTTTATATCAAGTTGTGTAAAAGGACTGAAACCTATGGGTAAGAGGTATATTCACTTGGCTAAAACAGAGAGTTCCCGAACTCATAATAGAACTAGAATGAGGAAAATCGGGATAAAATTATGCCCTAACCCGGTACATATACTACGGGGGTACCATATATTCTAACTCAATACATTATAAAATCACCATCAATTTAGGCAATTTAATAAGTATAAGTACCGTATAGGTTTATTTCCACTCCATAATCAGCATGACAGACGATAAAATATTTGATAAAAACAAAATAAATAAAACTGATTATAGAATCGGGAGAGCAAATAAAACCTCAAGTAAGGTTTGAAGCGTACAGATTTTAGATGGAAAGATATTGATAAAAGAAGTAGTACGTGTTCGCTCACCCAAAAATTTTATTTGTTGTAGGCCTATGTCACTTACCGTGTGAGTGTCCTCTATATTTTTCATATCGGCAATACTTTCATTATTATCCGCTGCAACTGCATTTTGTATATGTGTGTAACTTCCGAACAATGAAGTGGTTTCACTCTCAGCAGCCCCCCACCAGTGATTTGGAGGTGTTGGTGAATCTGTCGAAGTAAGAATTCTACAAATTAAATGAAAATCAATACAGACATAATAATTTAATAATGGCAGAACAGCGTAAGCTAACAAAAATATGTTATTATTAACAAAATAAGTTAAATGCGGTAGAAGATTTCTTCTTCGACCTGTGATGTGATAAAATTTTTGTCCCGCTAACAAAACTCTTCTTGAAAAAAAAGTCATAGTTAAATTACTTGCTTTAAATATCTCATTAAATTTATACCTGGGATGACAACCCGTTCCTTTATTGATTCGACACTACTTTTGAATTTGTGATCATCTCCGGTAGCAACACCATGAGCTTGCATGCGATGAAATTTGGATTCCAGTAATCTTTTCTCCTTTTGATAAAAAAATATATGTCTATATTAATAAATAGAACTATTTACAAGATAAAACTAATTCAACAATAATCAAGGATAGGATTTACATTTTTATCCCAAGGGAAGGGAAAGTCGATAAGACGGCTCAATCATATGGAGAACCACGGCCTCTTGTCCTAGTTACCAGTCCAGGTCGGGAATGGGATTAGTTAGCCAGTTCTTTTATTTTCGAAAGCATGGACTTGATGGTGGAGGAAGCCGTAACCAACCAGCGGTTACGTGAACCGCCCTACGGCGAGTCCAGCAATCCTCTCTCACGTAACCATCCCCGCATGGGATTTGAACCCACGCAGGGGTAATCAGAGATACAGTGGCGAGCGTATTCTTAATGCCCAGCACAATACACCACACCGCCGAGCCTAATCAAATACAACAATACAATATGAAAGATTGAATAAATAAATAATACCTGCAACAAAGCTTGTATTTCCGATTCTTTTGTTTCACGAAATATTTTGAACTGTCTTTGAATTTTTTCTCTATCCTGAATGGTTTAGAGGCAAATATTATTTCAATTTTTAGGAAGAATGAAAAACAAATACAAACGGCAAACATTGACAAAACTCACCGCATAGTATACTCAGCCGGTCAAAGATGACTAAAATTTTATTATGAATCATTACTCATTACATTAGTAATATTTTTATACATAACAGGACTGATCGAACATAACAAATCTGTAACTGTTATTTGAGGTTCCAGACTGAATGCCCTATATTATCTTTCTATCATTATTGCTTATACAACAAACAAGAACTAAAATGGGATGTTTATGAAAACGGAGGACACATACCTGATCAAGAGATATCGCTCTCTGCGTAGCTTCATGGCAACTTTCTGTAGCAGTATCACGCTCAGCTCGTAATTTCTGACAAAGTCTGTTTAATGCTTGGAGTTCAGCTCGAAGACGTGTATTTTCAGTATCTAATTTTTGCTCCTGCCATATTATATTGAAATTGGCAAATTTAATTGCTATGACTAGTATATTGTGACTTTTCACTATCATCTAATTGGGATAAGAAGCAGTTACATGATAAAATTGCTAATTCCAGTCTTACTGTTCTGAATACTTTCGTACCTTCCTCTGAAGAGCCAAGATATCCTGTTCTTTTGTGATCTTCAAATTCATTTTCTTTACGAGCAGGAACAGGTAAAAGTTGATTTGTCAGTGGGGATCCAGATGTATCAATTGAAAATAAACTTTGAGATTGTCGAACTCCATTTGTATCATTCTGAATAAACATTGAACTATTATTACTCCTCAACTTGAGTTGAGTGTTTTTATAAAATGAACATCCAACATGATAAGTATAAATTGGACCTTTAATCTTCACAGCTTGTCCACAATAACTGTAGAACTATCACTACTGTATTATCAGATCTGGTACTGTAACACATGAAAAAAAATTCAGAATCTCGCTAATCACAAGATATGCTGATATGCAGTCGTGGAAAAGCTACCTACAATTAATCTTTATTTTGTTAACAGACAAAGCTCCAGATGAAAAACGATTCCCATGGGAAGTTTTAAATAAATAAAAGTAATAGCCTACTAGCGACAACAGTCTTTAACCACTAAAAATTTCAAATCGCATGGTCCAGTGGTTAATAACAAGAAAAACGATTTTTTCAAGAGAGGGCAAAAAATACTAACAAGTGACAAGGACAACATAATTACAAAAGGAACCATAGGTATCGCATACTTCATGCCCAAAAAACAAATCTGATAAATAACAGACCTTGTTTCTAACAACATTATGAGGTTGACTGCTATGTTTCTTGATGCCAGTAAATCGTTTGTCATTGCCATCCTCTATCAATTCATCTTTAATTTTCATTTCCACCGATCCGCCTGTTCCCATGATGATGAACAAGTATTATTTAGCAAGAATATACCATTTTACAAAATTATTGCAATCGCACCAATGGACTTAGAATGACTATATCTTAATTTTTCTGCAATGATAAATAACAGTCAAATAATGTAAATTCACATTGCACAATGAAACTAAAAGAAGTAGATAAATGAAAGCATGCTAAATGAAACAAAACTGAATCAATCAAACAATCAGAAGAAATCAGGAAAAGGTGCGTTAGTAAGAGTTGCTTCCACTTGTGATATATTAAAATCATAAAAAAGAATCAATGAATCAACCAAAGATTCTATTAATGTTTATAAAGAAATAGCGTCATATTCTCGGGCAATGGAAAATTCTAACTATCAAATGTCTGCCTATGCTCAATTTATTTAATTTTTGCAAAAAACATAAATTTCAGAATATTACGATTTTGCATATCAATTTTCGGGACAAATTTTAAGAAGGAGATAGTCGAATCACAATGATAGGTATGGATAAATTGTTGATAAATAAATAAAGCACTGAGATATAAATCCGACTTTAAAAATTTCAGTAATGAAGCATTTATCATCAATATAACTCGAATTACTGAAGGCATAGACTATTGGGGGTAAAGTACGATAACATTTTGCCCTACATCTAAAATCTTCAATCTCAAAACATTAGAAGGTTCAGCCAACAAATCAGTACAGATTCTCCAGAGATTTCATGAGAATGATTGTGACAATACATAGAAAACTCTAATTACCAGTAGTGAAATATAAAAGCGACATGTCAGAGGCATTGTCATTAATGGGCCTTGAAGGGAAAGGACTGCCATGTATAAATTCTTATACTGAAATAATGTTCATTGTGAATTTTGGATAAAGGATTTGACCAAATCAGTATCAGAAAAATATACAGGTAAATTAAGCTGAGAGAGTTAGTCACCAGTTTGATTGAAAAAAAAATTGCATAGCTTTGAAAAACACCTTTATTTATACTCCAAAAAGAAATCATTTTGATTAGTACAAATGATACTAAGAATATAAGACAAAAGTGTTTTCATGTGACTCGTTTGTGCAATAAAAAACTCGTTTTTATAATTTCAATTGTAGCTTGTATATACAAATTCATGACCACTTCAGACAATCATATCAAACTGGGCATCAAAATTCAGGCACCAAATCATACATCAACATCGATTCAAAAATATTTAAAATGGAAGCTATATGATGTATATAATGTAATAAGTAAAAGCGATAGTTGATAGTGAAATGCTGATTTATTATATTAAGATATGGGTTATTTCTGTAAATAGGCCAAATTGACATATGATTTGATTTCATGGGCTTTAGCAATAATAACTTCCATTTCAACAGAATCAGGAAAATTTTGTAACATTTTCATATTAGAACTGAAATCCCCCGTCAATAACTGATCACGAAGCAAGATGATCATTCCCCCACATACAGCAACTAATAAGTCAAATCGTAATGGATCAGAAAATAACGAGTCCCACAATCGAATTGTGTCAGGAAGGGAGAATTCTTGAGACAGAAGTAGCGTAATCCACCTGAATAAATAAAACTCTTCTCTAATACTCTGCGAATCAAGCCGCAACCAAACTTTGGGGTCACAAGTTTTAACCAAGTTGGACACTTTATCCATCGTTCCACCAATTCCAGTCATTGAATGATCCAAAGTTTTGATAAAATTATCTCGAATTTCTGACATGAGATTTGTGAAACAGAAAAAGGTGTCGCATTCCGCATGCTCCGCCCAATCTTTATTTGGATCAGAAGCAAACGTATAAAACAGTGGCCCAATTATTTCATTCATTCCTTGCACATAACCTGTCCCTGGATTGAGCTTGGCATATATAAATAGAATCCTTTCAACGACTTCCCAGTGAGCTTCTGATCCTTCGGGAAGAACAGCATACTCTTCTAATGCTTGCTTTTTCTTGCTGATTAGACCAGAAACGATGCCAGACCTATTTTTTGCAACATTCTGTGAACTTAAAGCAGTTCTTTGTACTCTCTTATGCAACACTTCCACCCTATTGATGGGATTGACTAAATCTTCACAAGGATAATTAGAAGCATTTTGAAAGAATGATATATCAGGACACAACCTTCGAACATCTTTATCAATTTGCAAAAGTATATCGTTATCTTTGAAATAGGAATTCCACTCACTCTTTGGATTTGGATTAAGTGGATGATCATCCATAGTCACATCAGTACGCTCTGTACAGTATTCTTTCAATCCTGGCTTGATAATCATTTCATTAACAAATTGTTTATAGATTTTTCTGTTTTCATCAAGAACACTTGCCCAAGAATCACGTTTTGCTGGCAAATATTTTAGCAGAATTCTCCAGGCTAATGGCCTGATTCCACATGTATCTGAGATTCCATATGAAGAGAGTTTCCCAAGCTGTTTTATGTTTATCACAGATGCGCCGAGAATTTCAAGAAACTCGTTTTCCCTACGTTTGTCAGCCATTATATTTATAGTACCTACTGTAGTAGCAGTGTTACTAATACTGTAATAATACCTACGTCTATTCAAAGTGGAAAATACTTATAAGTTACGGTACTCCTTTGAGAAGAAAAGTACATACCGGTATACTCAGAGTCAGATACTGGTAGACTATATAAAACTGTAAAACCAGGCCACAGTTCTGCTATTCAAGTAATAAACAATGCTGAATACAGTAGTAGTATTTTATTTCGTCAACAATGTCAAAATCAAAATACAACATTTCAAAATTAATTTCCAAGGCATTGTGACGAGGCTGTGACGAAGCGACCGTTAGGTCATCGAGTCAGTCACAGCCTTTAAAAAAATATAAAATTACCATTTTTTTAACGGAATTGAGCTGAAGTGCATACACCGAAAATAAATTAACAAAACTAACAGAGAGGAAAACAAAAACAAAAGAAAAAACAAAACTCAATTGAATATGTTTAAACCATACGGTACTATGGGGGATGGCATGTACACAGTATAATTCAAGCCTAACCAACTGGAATAATGGTCTTTTACAGTTAATGTTCTATAGTAGAGTCGTATGTTTCACGAAAAAGGGACTGGCAGTAGGCCTACTATGTTTCCGTCAGACGCAGTTACCACCACTATAGCTCACGGCGAGTTAGCCTCCACCCGTTACGGCTTCACGACATCAGTCAGTCAGTAGGTTTAGATACCGGTACTGACATACATCGTTTTGACTTCAAGACTGCTTACGTTCACATGGCCTACAAAAATCAAACGAATTTGGGCTGAAATAATCGCCGTTTGAATGGGGTTCAGGGGTTGGATATACAAACGATTGTTACATTTTTGTGTGGGCGTTCTAGTCGATATTACAGTAAGTCCTCGGGTTACGAGTTATGCTGTTCCCAGGTTACGAACGCACTCCATGAAAATAAAAAAAGATAATACTAATTACTACAAAGCCTCTACTATCAGACCATCCACCTCAGCTGCCTCTACTACCCCAACTTCCTCATCTTATTAATACCGGTACCGTACTGTACTGCATTTGCTTTTATTCATGTGATATGGAATTATTTTCTGTTTTTCTAATAATAAAGTACTTTTTTGCATTATTTGTACATTTTATTAAAGTACCATACTCCACAATGGACCTTTCCCCGACCTTTGATCCTGGAAAATTCTTCCTATACTTTACCATTGCAAAATTTTCAGTGCTATTTTAGGAATGTTTTTGCGAGTTGGCGCCTGTAAAATGGGGTATGTGTTTCAAACCATCATTATGATTCATCGCACACAACAATCTGTTTTTTAAAAGTACCGGTAGAGAATTTCAGGCTAGTCTATCACAGCTATTTCTACACTAATTTTTATTACTGCAATTAAATTAAAACTCCTAGGAAGACAGAGTGATCATTGAATTATATGATTTTTTATTAAGTTTCCGAAACACAACTGAAAACTAACGAATAGAGTTCAAAAACGCGAAAACGAGGTAATGTTTACAACCACGCTTGAAAATCTGTCTGAGTGAGAAAAGTGTCTGAGCGGATGCGAAAAGGGGGCATTGTTACGTCACATTTTGCATCTTGCTGATTGGCCAATGTCACGAAGTAAACAAGGAAGTCGATGCTCGGGGAAAGGTCCATACAGTACGATATGTATAAAGTAATTTATGTAGAATGTTCCGACTTACACAATAAAATGATTGATTGATTGAAATTCGGGTTACATCGCGTCTCAATAATGGAACAACGTCGTACCGTAAGTCGAGAAATTCCCTGTACTTATATTTACCTGAAGTTGTTCAATTTTATTTATGTGTAGACTAACTTGAACAGCAAAATACTAGAAATCATAGTAATGGACGTAGATAGGATTCGGAATACTGGAATAAGGGCGAATGTTTCCCTGGGCATCGATCTCATTGTTTCGGCAAGTAGTTAGCAATGACGTAACAATTCGAATTTTTAAAAACCGATCAGGCACTGGGCTCGGCGGTGTGACGCATCGTGCTAAGCGCGAGGAATACGCTCTCCACCGCATCTCTGATTACCCTTCATGGGTTCGCAGGTTCGAATCCCATGCGGGGATGATCATGTGCGAGAGGATTGCTGGACTCGCCGTAGGGTGGTTCACGTAACCGCTGGTCGGTTACGGCTTCCTCCACCATCGAGTCTTTGCTTCCGAAAACAAATAACTGGCCAACTAATCCCATACCCGACCTGGACGGGTACCTGGACGAGAGGCCGTGGTTCGCCACATGATTAAGCCGCCTTATCGGCTTTGCTCTCCCCCGATATAAATATGTAAATCCGATCCTTCGTTCGCTCGGACATATATTCGAGCATGGTTGTAAACATTGCCTCATTTTTGCGGTTTTACGTGTGTTGTTTGTCAGTTTATAGTTGTGTTTTTGAAAATTAATAGTAAATGAAGTATTTCATTTGTCATTATGTCTTTTGATTTGCTTTAGTATAGTTGCAATATTCAAAAAATTAGTCCCGGATAGGCTGCGATAGGCCAGGCTAAAATGAGCTATTAGTACGTGTAAGCGGTACGCGGTTATATATTTTATTAACCCCGGGGAACCCAGACAATGATAGAGTTGAAGGAAAAATCTGATATTTGGGATTATTAGTTCATTTGTACCATGTTGAACAAATATTTATCCCATTTTGACCTCATTTAACCCCACTTTGAAAATGTGACATATGTGTTACAATGGGATTTACACTGTATACAAATGTGAAAAATTTAGTCAAATCAAGTTGAAGTCTCACATTTTTATTTCAACATGGAACGAACGAACCCAAAGAGCAATATCGGTGAATCATTTGCGCATAAAGCAAGCATGAAATAAAAACTTAAAAAACTGCAGAAACGATTCCCGGAGAATAACTAATTGTTCCAATTCCTCAGGCGTGGAAAGTCATAAAACAATTGCGGCCCTCGACAAAAGAAAGTCTCACTTTGCAATTTGAACAGCAGGTATTTGCTTGATTGCGTTCTCACAATTTTCATCTTCCCCTTTTCTCAATTTTTTTGGCCAGTGTGCGTATTTGTCTCGGCGGATATCTTCACATGGGGCCTTCGATATTTTCCTTGAGGGGCTGCGAATTTTTTCAACTTCAGACGATGGTCTCCCTTAACGACTGTCAGTGTTGACATACATCAAAGCACTTGCGACTGCCGCTTGAATATGTCGCAGTTTCATGATATATGAGGAGATGGAGCAGGGCACAATCCCGACGATACCAGAGCCAGGCATTCACAATAGCCATCATTATAAAATGCCAAATGAGATAAAGATACCTTCTTTTGGATTTTATTCGAAACCTGTACTTTGCAATAAATGAATCCAATTTATCAATACCTCTCATAAACTTATTGTATTCTTGAACGATAGCAGGCATGGCTATGTACACATGCTGTTTCGCTCGTCTGTCCCACCGTATGATTTGATCTATTGGCTCGACTCCTATACGTACGAAGATAGTAGTGACACTGCCCTATTGTCATACCATCTTACGGCTATTATTTTATTGTTTTCCTCAACTCTGAAGTCATATTCCCCCTGCCTTTCTTCTTTAATGTTTTTTTATCGTCCAGGTTACAGCTCGGTAGGCGTTTTTTTCTCACGGTGCCAACATATTGCATTTCCCTCTCTGATAATTTTTGGATCAGTGGAAAGCTGCTAAAAAGGTTATCAAAAAATATCTTGCAGTTTGCATGGTATGGCAATGTTGATGTCAGCTTGAGAACAACGTCCGCACCTTGTCCAAACTCTGTGCGTTCACCGGTACCACCCTGGTAGACATCAAAGTCGTAAAGAATTCTACTTATACCCGCCCTTCCTCAGATCTTAAAACCCCACGGATGAAGCTTACTCTTTAGGTACTGACGTATAGAACTTGTCGTGCCTTTATACCGGCACATCATCTCGTCAACAGAGTTGTATTCCTCGGCTGTAACCTGTAAGCATGCATTTCTGAACACCGTTAGCCATGGACGAATCTTCCATAGCTTGTCAGAGTGTTTTTTGTTGTCAGACACAGTCAAATTGTCTACAAAATGCAGAGTTCTCAGCAATGTTTGAAAGCGGTTGCGAGACATAACTCCACTCACTGGCTCATAAAATGTTGAAGTTTCCTAATACATCCTGACACTGGGCATCTGCACTATACCCATGTGCAAATACATTCCTAATATCTGCTCAATTCTGTTTGTTTTGACCGGAATACCATTATTTTGAACCTGTTCTGTCAGAAGTTGCAGCATTTCCTCTGTCACAAAACGGCGGAAATAACGCAATGGCGTATCTACAATCATGTCATCTGGAGGATCCAATTGTGGACCGGAGAATGTTGCATCAGGTCTACCGAAGTGCTTCTTTTTCCATCGAAACTCATTGCGGTCGGTTGCATTTTCTATTTGGCTTTGTTTTTGATTTTGCACTCGTAGACTCGTCAAAGTAACGTCATCGTCAGAACTTTCGGACTCGACCTGTAAAACAAAATATCACGTAATGAAAACAAAGAACAGCATTATTTATTGTTTCGATCACTGAGTGAGAAAGGTATTTGTCAGAAAATATTTTATGTATCTGTGAAGGATAATTGATTGTAAGCAGTAATGCTTCTTTAGGAAAAGAAACTATGTAACCATTATTTGAAAGTATTTATGAACCTGGAAGCCGTTGTTTTTGTCTTTTCTAATATCGTATTCACTATCTGACTCTGTACAAGAGTCTTCAGCATCATTGTAATCACTTCCATCACATTTCAAAATGACAAGAATATCATTAGCATTGCACACTCTTGCGATTTCAGTTTTCCGCGAGCTGCTTGACCCAATCGATGCCTTGTTCTAGAAAAAATAATAGATGTATATGGTTAGTGGCCTGACCAAGCAAAAAAGGGGCAATTCAAGGCTATAATGTGAATGTGTGCAAATATTGTGTCACCGGTGTCACATGCAGATTCAATTACTCCATTTGTATGACTAATCCCGACGTGACACCGGTGATACATCAAATGTAGACCTTCGTATATCGGGTCAGTATTCACCCTAGATTCTCAATTCATA